GATATTTACCCACTTTTTCGAATTCCCGAGGGGTGCGACATAGTAGGAGATTGACTGTAGATTTCTTAATTCGTTTCATCTGCCTATCTTGTTCAATGTTATACGTGCGCAATCGATGAGAGAGTATATAAGAGGAATTCCTCTCGCGCGGTGTTTGTCTCCTGACTTGCCTGTTCAAAGATTACAAAGGTTTATTGGCATTAGATCATTATAATTTGTAAAGTATAATATAAAGTATAATATTTGTAGTCTACAATCACAAACAATACGCTGATTTTCACTGCTTTGTAATGATATACAAATGAGTCATACCTTCAAAATTGTATTGTGGAAGCATAATCGGATCGTAGAATTCGTCCAGAGTGTGACAAATAGTGCGCTGAATCAACTGATCTTGGACACGTAACAAATAGCCTAAAATTGAATGAATGAATTATTCAAAATTGATTCAACCCTTGTCACTATTTGGAGATGGAAAACTTACCCATCTGCGACAGACAATCCACACATAAATTGAAAAATGTCTGCTCATCCGAGCTCAATTCTTTGATCAGTGGTAATTTGCACAAGCAGATTAGATCAATAAACGGTTTCTGGTAGACATCTGGTTCACACGCCACACGATCGGCCAGTAGATTCAATAGCTCATACAAAGAGACCAAATCGCGTAATTTCTACCAATTTGTGATCGATTAAGCGAATAACGGACATGCTTCACATGAGATTTATCGTTCATTTGGTGTTTGTCCTTTCATCGATTTGTAAAACCTCGTGGCACTAGTGATTCCATCCCGACTGGCCCTAATTGATCAAGCTATTGCTTGACCGAATAACACAAGTGGTGAGCACAAAGGTCCGTCATGCAAGGTCGTGTTTCTAACAAATATGCAAACAATTTATTGTGCGTTTCGTTTATGTCGCTGGAAAATGGAATTCACTGCATTGGAAGTAATTTTGTTTAACTTAAGGTCTAAATCGAAATTCCCACACCTAGATCGCTGGTGCTGTTTTTAAGTTGTGGTACTCTGAAAATTCTTGGATCATTTTTATCGCTCATTTGCTTTATTTCTGTGAATTACTCATTTCAAGGTTTAGGAATGCATCATCGATCACTTCGCGAAATCCAATCACATGTATTTCAACATCTAAGTGAAACAGTTATAGATGATTTCATCAAGACTGGTGATAATTTTCCATAACCCCTGGCACACACACAGGCTCATAGGAGAAATGTTTACAATCACAGTAGACTCTATGTTGGGCTTCCTGGTAGGACAATGGGAGCACTTTTCTCTGCTTTTATTTCGCTGTTACCCCGATAGGGCTGTATTTCGCCACATAAACGCTTCCATCAATTCACTGTGCCTGATCAGTGAATCAGATGTGAATCACTTGAACAGGTTGTATTCGTGAAAACGTTAGGATCTTGTGATTTACCCAACGATGTCCTCATTAATGCGAAACCAACATGAGAATATCTGTTTTTGTAGATTCATGGCAAAATATTTGAAGGTTATACATTTGTCGCCAAAGTTGATGACCACCGGCCGTGTAGCTCAGGGGTAATGGTTTGAAGTCCCGACCTGACTAATCGCACTGCTGACGAGTCCCAAACAGAATAAAACAGCTGTCCAGTGCTCTTTGTCGGTTATCACAAACATTTTCATCGGATTTGGAACAACATACTTGATAAATAAACTGTATTCTATTGTATAAAACTTTTGAAAACACTGAACGTTACACTTCAGTGAAATCTATGCTAATCATAATTTTTAAGTAAATTATTTTCTTTTTGCTAGCCGCGAACCGACTCTTTTCAAGCGTTAGTTGATATAAATTGGACGGAATGTCTGTGTTTGTTTTCATTCGACTGAATAAAAATTGGCTTCTTATTTCTTTCCTTGAATATTTATGCCTTTATGTTCTGACTACTCTCGAGTAGCTGAATTTATTCAAGTGAAGAAACCTGAGGAACAGATAACGAAGTGCGATATTGTTTAAATCTGTCGGACACGTATCAACTATTGGAATAATCTGTTCGTCCACGAATCAGTGACTTAACTGAACCAGAGCAAATCTGTTTCAGACAAATGACTGTATGAAAGTAATCGAGGATTTCATTTGATAGTAAGTGATACTAAGTGAATTCCTCAATTAAAATAGCATGAACTGAAAAGCTAGGAAGCGTTAGACCGCTGCTTCGACATAACTGGGTCTCATCGGCAGTACGTATTCACCGACTGAATTAAGAATTGAACCCGAGACCTCATAGGTAGTACGCAAGCATATTACCCATTAGGAGACCGGGCATTTGATCAGGCCGTTTTTCATTTTAAAAATATTTGGTATAGCACGATCAATCTTTGCAAGCCTAATGCATGCATCGCACCTTTCGCATCTCAGCACTAGCCTCTAAGGTTATGACTCAGTTAACAGTGTGCTTGCGTTCTACATGTCAGGTTCCGGGTTCGATTCCCAATAAGGTGGATGGATGCGCAGTGCTGATGAGATCCAACGAGGTCGAAACATCTATTCCGTGCTTTCCTTGATTTTCACCTCATACTTCATTTAAACATCGAATTCATCGCAAATAAGCAAAAGATCGTGTTCGGTACTTCAAGGTGATGCAGTTACAACCAACACAGGAAAACATTCTAAATGGTTAGCTGGAATGTGCTATTAAATGGAATACGGCAGTATGTGCGTTTGCATTGCCCGAGGTTGTAGTTTTACCACGATGTTATTTGTCATGATACACGTGTAATTCGACAATGTATGGGCAAAATTTGGTGGGATTGTAGCTTTGGTCGTGCAACGTAATAGTCATTGCTATGGTACAATCATTGTTAGGTGAAGTCCACATATTAATTGGTAAGATGCTTGAGACAATCGCTTCAGTTTGTGAATGCAATCCCTCCTCCTCCTTCTCTTGGAAATTCAGCGTCCCAGTTCTAGGCATTGAGTACTGCGTGTGAAGATGCAATCAACAGGATAATCAGTTACAATAAAAATCAAATTCCACACAACTACTCACAAGTAGTTGTGAGATAAACAAATGAAAACGGCAACGTTCATAGATAGAAACTCGACTCACTGACATTTCAAAAAGGATAGAGGGATTTGAAAACTACCTATATATGCCCTATATGTGCAAATAATTTTATAATAATTTCTGTTCGACCGGATGGAATGCTACGAGTTTTGTACAAAGGATACAAATCCTTGATTATTCATGAGAAATACGCGATGCAAGATCAATCGATGACGCTCGTGCATCTGTTCCTGAAATAGGAGTTGCATTGAATCGAAATACATTCGAACAAGTGTACCGTATAGGGATCGGAAATTAATTTGATCGCTTGCTGGATTGTACCCAGTGTGTCTGGCTTTTGCTGCAAAACGATTCAATAGTCACGGAGTGAGTGTTGCGGTTAGATAAAAATAGCTTACCTTTGATTGGGGACTCGGAAAAACCACATTGGTTCGAATTATTGGGCGAGATTTCCTAACAGACGATTTCTGATGTGAAGGTTTGTGAATAGTGGCCATGATTTGTTGAATAAGACAGATTGCAAATAAAAATGCAACAAAAATCACCAATGTCCCACAGAAACAAAGCTCATTGTATGCTGAAGTGCATCAAGGTAGTGCATATGAGTTGCCTGAAAAAGAGGAACGTAAATTGTTTGGTCAAAAACGTTTGCATTTATGTCCCTGATTTATTTGATGAAATCGTATCACGGGGTCATAATGGGCATCGCATCTTAATTTTTATCTACAAAAATAGAAATTAACTGTTCTTGTTTGTATGGATATCACGTGGCTTATCCTGAGTGTATGAAAACAGGAATAAGTGGCATGAATAAATGCACAGAGTCATTAGGTAGAGTAGATAGCCCGCATCTTCCAGATTGGGGTCCGAAAGACTCCGCAATCAATATGTTGGAGACATTGAAATATGTAGCAGCAAACTGAAAACATTGTCTTTCTCGTTGTCATTTCTTATCAGGCCAGAATGCATGAAACGATATGGATGCATAGTTTGACTGTGCGCCAACTATTAAGGTTCACTTTCTTCCCCCTTCCTCAGAATACGTCCAATTCCTGTCCATTTTAAATATCACCACTAACCTGTTTGCACTGCGAGTTTCGGAACGATTAGCGAAGTTCGTTCCGCTGTATTTCGCTGTACGATGATGATGATGATGATGATGATGATGATGATGATGATGATGA